TCGATTCGCGTGCGGGTTCGATTTTCGGGCGTTCAACCACGGGTAACCCCCTATGCTACAGCGAACAAGAAACGCCCTCGGCTGGGCCACCTCTGCAATTGCATACGAAAAGCTTTCGCATGTGGTTCAGTAGCTCGGCGGGGATACGCCCACCTAAGGGATGGTGACAACTCCCACAGGTGGAGGTAAAGCAGTGCCTCGCGTGGCTCTGTCCTGTCACAGGGACTCGTGAGAGGTACGGCTGGCGCACTCGGCCGGAGTGGCACGTCGCTCTCCGCGACAGAAGTCCTGCCAAATCCTGCGTGACGCGGCCGGGAGGGTCCCCTTGCGGGACCGATGCGCTCGACAGGTGGCGCCGTTGCCGGGGATCTCGGCTGCCTACCGGGGTCCACAGTGAACGAAACTAGGTTAAGAGCAGGCTGATGATTCAGGCAAAACGACAACCCTTGATGAAAAATTTTGATGATGATATGAGTGTTGTGCTATCTTCGATGGCCTAACAAAATTTATTTTTGATTACGAGTAAGGTTGAGAGTGTGCTTTGTGTGTATTCGTTCCAAATAATAGCGTCGGAATTACGATATAAAGGCCGGATAGACTACCTTAGTTATTAAAAGTATGTTCGATTGAATAATGAAACTAGAGAGTTTAAAGGTTTGACGGCAGGATGCTTGTCGAAATCGTTTTTTTTGGCAACAGGTTTTGAGAAAGGACAAAGATGCCGGACTCCGATGGAATCGAGCGGGGCCCGGGTGCTACACCCGAGGACTTCGTCAAGGCTTTGGAAAAGAGAGAAATGGCACGGCTTCAGGTGCCCAAGGTTAACATCTTCCACTCCAATGGGGATAGGGTGTCCGAGTGGCTTGAGCTGTTGGAGCAGGTCACTTGCGAGGCATCAAAGGCAAACAAATTCAAGTTGATGCCTAGGTACGTATGGTGGGAGCTTAGACCTGAGGTAATGAAAGTAGCGGCCGGCGCAAACGGTGAGTGGGCAAGGTTTAAAGAAGAGATGCAGAGGCGTTTCAAGTTAGGGGACGACCTGCTCACAAAAGAAGACCTGGAAATGTTGAGACGGGACGAGTTCTCCACGGTAGGGGCCTTTGCCACAACATTTGAGAAGATGGCAAAGAAAGTCCCAGGGCTGGCAAAAGAAGAACATTGTGCCACTTTTCTAGGGCACTTCAAGAATTGGGAAGCCTCGTCCCTAACCAAGAAAGCTGCACCAGGAAAAAAACTGACTTGGGGTGCCATAAAAGAAGGCGTGCTAGAGGGAGAGTTGGACCAGGTAGACATCTTCCAGATGAAACAGGCTAGGAAGAAAAGGAAGGCTTTGGATACTATCACTACTGATGGGCGCAACTTCAAGCTAATGATAGAAGAGGCTGTGGCCCAGCACGATGCAGAGAAGGAGGCAAGAAAGAAGGCTATGGTGGCGCCACAAGCCCAAGGGAAAGGAAAGAAGGTGGCAGTGCTAGAGGAGGAGGAAGAAAAAAAAGAGGAGCCTGAACCACAAAAGTTGACAAAGGCTCAAAGGAAGGCAAGGAACACGACTCAAGGAGGGCAAGGCTCAGGAAAAGGTCAAGCCCCGCAGGCTGTGGCAATGCCACCCCCAGAGTCGTCCGGTCAAGCCGCACCAGCGCCCTATGGGTCATGGCCAGGTTGTGGACCTCCCAGTCATTGGCATGGGCACTGTTCATATGCACCATGGCCAACGGGCGGACTACATGGATCATGTGCCGGAGCGCCGATGAGTACTGCTTCCTGTGGATGGCCGGGACCCCAGTCTCAACAGGTGAGTCACTTGAACCCACCGCCAAGCCAACCTCAGTAGTCGGCCCCACAAGGATCACAAGGGAATCAAGGTGGTGGACGAGGACAAAATCAAGGATGGGGCCGAGGGCGAGGAAATGGTGGCCGCGGGGGATATGAGAGAGGAAACGCGAACAGTAACTCCCAGAGAGGAGGAAGTGACAAGTGGGACGGTGTGAGGAATCAGAGTGACCAGCAAGGCAGTGGAGGATATGGAAGAGGAAGGATAAATTGGAGAAATGTCATCTGTTGGCATTGTGGCCAGAAGGGCCACACAATTAAGTTCTGTCATGTCTGGAAGAGTGATGAAAAGGATGGCCTGATGAGTTCAAGCTATGATGGTGATTTTTTTGACATGTACGGTGAGTGCATAGACCCAAGAATCCCAGGGGGGATAAGGGAAGAAGCTCTGCGGCGTGCTAATGCCCCAGCTCCACCAGCCCCCCCGACCGCTTTCCGTATTTGGCAGGAAGTAGAAGATCATCAGGGCGTGAGGATAGAGGAGATAAGCGAAAGTGAAGAGGTTGAGCAGAGATTGAGGGCCGGCACCATAAAGGAGGAACCCATAGTGGTTGAATCGGACGGCGAAGGAGAAGAGGATAATTTGGTAAGGGCAAGAGATACGATGGAGAAGATGGAGGACCTGTTGGCAAAAATTGGGAGGTACCAGGATAAGCTGACCACTCTTTGTGAGGAAGCCAACAGGTGGAAAGGAGAGTTACCATTAGTATACCTCATCGATTCAGGTCTAGGCGCACAAGGCGGGTCTAGGAACCTGCCTGGAGTGGCCGTCACGAAATCAACTCCTATGTCTGGAATGACCTTCAGGCCGCCGTCAAGAGCCGGAAGGGCAGCTTTGGCGGCACGCACTAGATCGAAGGGGGCACCCGACTCCAGCCAGCCCACTCAGGACAAACCGGGACCGAGTGGTGAGAAAGAGACAGTAGAGATTCCTAAGGATGAGGAGGATGAGGATGAAAGGTTAAGGACGGAAGAGGACAAGAAGGCTGAAGAAAGAGCCAAGAAGAGGGATGAAAAGGCCGGCGCCAGTAAGGAACAAGAGAGCAAGAGAAGAAAGTATAAGGTCAGAATGGAGGAGGGGTTTGACGTGGAAGGAATGGTCGATCGACTCCTTGAGGGCCATAACGACCTAATGAACTTAAAAGATATCCTCGCCTCCGCTCCAAAATTGAGGGACGAGCTGAAGGCTCGATTGTCCAGAAGGTTAGTGGCAAGTGTGCGCTTGGGAACTATTATCCCCAGGGAAGCGGAATGGGCAGAGACAAGCACGAAGATGGATTGGAAGTCCGTCGCATGTGGATGCTTGGACGTAGTAGTAAAAGAAAAAACGTGCACGGCAATGATGAATACTGGGGCGGAAATGAACCTCATAAAAGAGGAACATGCTTTACGCTTGGGGATGGAGATTGATCGCTCGAATAATGGAGTTTTAATGGGAGCGAATAGTCGGTCTGTGTTCATAGAGACCACATTGAAAGTGGTTTTAGAGATTGAGAAGGTTAAAGTGAGAAGCTGTTTCTTTGTGATGCCTGATCTCGACCATCCCATCCTATTGGGCTGATCCTTTTTGAGCCGAACGGAGACCGTCATACTGAATAAGCATGATGGGACCATGTTCTTGGTACTTTGTGACCCTGTGTGTGGGAACTATGAGGTAATCACATGCAAGAACACAGAGCCACGAAGCATAAGAAATCGGCCCAACCCTGACTCTTTTACTATTGAAGAGTCAGAGGTAGAAAGGTTGAGGTTGGAGGGTGAGGTGTTTGAAGGCGAAGAGCCTTCAGAGGCCCTCTCTCTCAGCTTGACTAATATAGGGGATGCCATAGACATAATATCCACCTATGGAATGACAGACCCTATGGCAGTAGAAGCCCTCAGGGAAAAGGTGATGGAAAGGAGAGGTGAAGATGAGGCAGAACTCATATATCGAGTGCCTGGAAGGATAGGTGGAACCGCGGGAGCACAACCCCAAACTGCAACTCGGCCTTTTTTAGGGGTACGATCAACCAGGGTTCACAAAGGCGGTACAAGAGGGTAGATCAGAAGTGCCGCCTTGTTCCCGTACTCGTTATTGAGGAGTAAGATGTTCATTACGAGCGGGAACGAGAACTGATACGACAAATGCGAGAGGACGCACATATAGGGTCATGTCGTATCACTCCTGAGACAGAAAATACGTTGATTATAGGTGAGCTCGGCTTCCTTACGGCACAAGAGGAGAAGCTTATGGTAGAGATCATAAGAGGAAGGCATACTGCATATGCCTTCAATGATGATGAACGGGGCCGTCTGGACGTGGATAGCATCCCGATGATTAGGATACATACTGTTCCCCACGAGCCATGGAATTTACGAGGCGCGCGGTACCCAAATCCGACTGACGAAGAAAAGGTAGTTAGCTACCTTGACGGAAAAATCCGCACACATGTGCCCGACTACTCGAGCGGACCGTATGCATCCCCTTGGTTTTGTTTCGTCAAACCAAACGGGACCTTGAGGTGGGTACAGGATTTGCAGCGCCTGAATGCTGTAACTGTGAGAGATGCAGGTAGTCTCCCTAACGCAGAAGCGCGTTCAGAGGCATGCGCTGGGAGAGCCATCATATCTCTCATCGACTTATATTCTGGTTACGACTAGTTTCCTGTTTACCCCTCTGACAGACCGATGACGACAATGCATACCCCTCGAGGGTTAATTCATATGAACGTCGCACCGCAGGGGTGGACAAATGCAGTCGCCATGGTCCAGAGGCACATGGTGAGGGCAATGCAGCCAGTAAGCCCTCACATTACTCAGCCTTACATTGATGATTTAGCCGTAAAAGGGCATAAAGAGAAGAACGAGCAGGAGGTAATGTCAGGGATTAGACGCTTTGTCTGGAACTATGTGCAAGACTTGTGCAGGGTCCTAGACTTGCTAAAGGAGCATAACCTCACTGCAAGTGGATCTAAATCGAGACACTGCATGAGCGGGGCCACCATCTTGGGGTTTGTGTACGACAAGAGGGGTCGTCGACTAGCCACTAAGAAAACCAATAAGATTATCGAATGGCCAACCCCATTCGAGACTATTACGGAGGTGAGAAGTTTCCTCGGGACATGTGGGTTCTGGAGGATCTTCATAAAAGGTTTTGCGGCAAAGACGGAACAACTTTGAAAGCTCGTGCGCCAAGGACAAGACTGGGAATGGGGAGATAAGCAGAAGTTGGTAATAAAGGGCCTAAAGAAGGAATTTGAAGAAGGGGGTCTAGTACTGGGAGTACCAGACCACTCGACAGTGATGACCAGGCCTTTTATTGTAGAAACTGATGTAGGGCCAACTGCGCTAGGAGGTGTGTTGATTCAGCAAGACCTTAACGGAGAAGAGCGACCACTAAGGTTTGAAAGTCGCACGCTTAACACAACTGAGAGAAATTACTCTGAGTTTAAGCGTGAGACCCTGGCGGTTCTCCATTGCTTAAGGATCTTTAGAAACTACCTCTTCGGCAGCAGGTTCGTGTTGAGGGTGTACCCAACTGCTCTAGCCGGTTCTCTCAAGAATTTCGCCCTATCAGACCCGACTATTGCCAGATGGTTAACAAACATCTGGATGTTCGATTTTGAATTAGAGCGAATTCCAGGAAATAAGAATAGAGCAGACGGATTGAGTCGAGTCGACTGGGACAAAAATAATCAAGGAGTGATCGAGGATACTCCGCCAGTCGATGGGTTTCTGGACAGTGAGGAGGATGTGAGACTTCACATCAACTCCTGGTCGATGGTCGTGGGTAACTAAGTTACTCTTGGACAACCTGTGTGGCTCGCGCCTCCAGGACATGTACGACCACCAGATCTAGTTCTTAAGCCCTACATTGAGGAAGACTCATGGGGAGTGCGAAACGTGCAGTGGATGATGAATCTGGCCTTAGCAGACAAATACCAGTTGCACGAAGACCTACTCACGATGGAAAATGGGGCGCAACAGGTGGAAGGGCACGAGAGGTTGATAGGTGGGATATACCTTTTGGCCAATGCTCTACTTCAAGACGAGGTGAGCATGGGTCCCACAATTTAGAGTCTCTTTCTGTTAAGTAATACTATATATATATATATATATATATTTATATATATATATATATATGATAAAATTGTGTATGTTTCTCAGTAGAATGGTGTGATAGAGTATAGCATTAAGATAAATTTATATACGTGTATTTACAGATATATGTATATGTAGTTAAGGTAGATATGAGAGGGGAATGTCTGTCTCCTGTTTTGTTTGCCGAACCTGCTTACCCTTTGTGTGCTTTTGTCTGTCTCTTCCTTGTTGTGCAGGTTTGACACCAGTTTTTGGGCAGCCATGCCAAGAGGGAGGGGAGGGGCAAGGCCAGTGGAAACCCCTCTGGGGGTTACCAGACAGGGGGCGCAGGTGAGGGCCAGGAGAGAGGACAGGCCACCCATTTATACATGAGACAATGTTGAGTTGTTCATGGTTGGGTTCAGGAGGCACGGTCATGAGTTTGGATGGGATAGTAGCAGGATGCTGCGGGAGGTGCGAGGAGCAGGCGAGTGGGCACAACCCCTTGCCAACTTCGTCAGGGAGTCATTGACCTGGCAGGATTTTGAGCAGAAGATGGAGGGCTTGCACCCATCTCCGCTAGGAAGAGATAGACGACCCATTCGTTTTGATGCCACTAACCTGTGGGAGTTCCTGAAGGGCTACGACGAGTTTGCAGATAGCATCAACGAGCCACCAAGCCAGAGGGTGAGGGGTTTTATTCTGTTTGTGAGGGAACACCTCAGGTCGTTCGTCAGATCCATTGTGGAGCCTGCCTAGAACTGGGGCCATTGCAAGAAATTGCTTTGGAACCACTATACTCCGGCACGTCAGGCTGACGAGAGAAGGAGTATGGGAAGAAAGAGGAAGGAGCCAAAAACTACAGAGAGGAGAACCTCTGAGCAGGGCATGACCTCAGGAGCTCGGAGGGATGGCAAGAGGAGAGAGCACAGGTCCCAGAGGCAGGAGAGACGGGAGGACCAACATATTGGCATGACTCAACAGAAAGAGGAGCAGACTGTAGAGAGGACCCAAAGGGGAGGACCCTCAGAGGGATCAGATATACCTCCTCAGCCTGCTCAGATACCTGAGGCCACTCCTAGGCCAGGCATGCAGCCAGAGACGTCTCATAGGGCACAGGGTCAGGGACAGGATGAGGATCAGACTGCAAGAGAGAAGGAACAAGACAAGGAAGAGAGAGCAGCAATAGAGAGAGAAATCAAAGTCCAAATCAGACTCAAGAATATGGCGGAGCTGCATGAGAAAGTTGAGCAGGGAGAGCAGCCTGTGGTACTAGAAGACAGAGAGGGAAAGGTTCACCCACTCAACACGATGAGACTCCTCTTTTCACGGAGGCTTGGGACAACTTTGATAAGCTGTTGGAGGCATCAGGGAGACCCAGAGAGCAGCATCAGGAGATGGGGGTTAAGTTGGTCTCTACAGACTTGATTAGCCTGAAGGGCCTTATGAAGGAAGGCTTTACGACGACCAAGACTTCTGATGAAAAGATGGAGAAGAGGTTGACAAGGGTGGCGCGGGCGTCTCATGAGCAGAAAATGGATTGGCAGAAAGAAATTGGTGATCTCAAGAAGGAGTTGGAGAGACAGGACAAGAAGATAGAAACCATGAAGACTGAGGTGGAGAAGGCCTGGGCAGGCAACGAGGCCATCAGACAGGTCAACCAGACCCTCAACAAAGTCAACGAGGCCATCAGACAGGTCAACCAGACCCTCAACAAAGTCAACGACACTCTGAGGACCTACTTGCAGGTACAACATAATATTTTTCAGGCAAAGGAAGCCAAGTGGGAGAAAATGATAGAGGATCTTGAGGCCAAATGTGTACAACAGGCGCCGACTACGGTGGTGGATTGGACAGAGGTCTAGAGGTTTGAGATCAGGAAGCAGCCTGCAGAGGAGGCCTTCAAGTGTCAGAAGGTGGAAGAGAGGGCAAACGAGCAGAAGGATGAGGAAATCCCCCTGCTAGATAAGGAGATGTTGCAGCCTAAGGAGGCTCTAGCAGGGACGGGGTCAGAGACTGGGGGGTTTGAGTGGAGGATGCCCACAGCCTTGGAACATGAGGCGAGGCCACCAGCAGAGGATGCGATGGATGAGGCTGCACTTCCCATGACTCAGGGGGAGACTGTGGGGCGACAAGAGGTTCAGGAGAGTGTGGGACAGGCCATGGCTGAGGCTGAGGAGAGGGAGGAGCGGGAGGTCTCTCAGAAGACCCCACCACCTCAGGATATGCCTCTGGTTGTAGGTCTGGAGGATGCACTGGGATCTTGGGCCACTGGATCCGGGGCAGAGGAGCGAGTGAGTGAGCAGATGGCGCAAACAGATGACAGAGCAGCATGCCCCATTCCCCCAGAGCACCCACAGCAGGAGGTCACCAGTGAGGCTACAGCAGCCCCCTCATCTGTACCCTCCCATGCAACTGACAAGATGAAGCAGGTGAAGTTTGGAAGATGCTTCTACTGCAAGAAAGGCAAGCACCCACAAGAAACCTATTCCAAAAGCCTCAAGGATGAGGCCGATGGTTTTTTTTCATGGGATCCATCTGGCGTGCGCAGGGACAGAGATGGGAACCTGATCCTGAAGACTCGTGATGGGATACGGGCACAGTTGTATAGGCAATTGCAGGAGGACATGAGTGATCAAGAGTAGGATTTACGAATAGAGTCCGAAAAAGTCTAGATTCTGACATGTGTAGAACAACTCTGACTCACTACTGATGGATGACTGTATATAGGAGAACACATGGAGGATTGGATCACGCCCATGTACATCAGTTAATTGAGTCATTACAGAGATGTTTACTTTCGCATATAGACTTTCAGACTTAGTGTACATAAGATAGTATTGAGTGTGACACTGACTACTTCGGTTTTCCTTTCTCTTTGTTAGTGTGGTGTGAAGTGTTTCTAGCCTCTAGGTAGTGCTTTTGTGCGAGTTTATGATTCTTTCTCTTTCAGAGCAGGGTGAGTCAGACAGTGTGTGAGTGATGTGAGGTGTGGATACTTTGACTCTCTTTTACTTTTTGACTTTCTCGGATATTTTGACTTTTTTTAGGTACCTTGATCTTTGGTTGGATATTGTGGCACTTGGTACGATACCCCGGTACTTTGTACGATATTTGATTTTTTTTGTACGATATTTTGATCCTTTCGATATGGATAGGAACCTTTGCTTATTTGCAAGGTCCCCGCGTTCTGTGTATTTGTGCGAATCTCAGACTTCTTTCTTTTTTGTGTGGTGTGTCACGCGCACTCTCAGTTGTGGACTTGCCCATATGAATGATTATTGTGAGGAGAATAAATGTTGTGGAAATGACCTGATCTGCACCATCTTCCTCTGTACTTAGGCATATCTATCATTAGAACAGACAAAGTCATAAGTACAGTAAAAGAGAGTGCACCTCACGTCTGTTTGGAAGAAGGAATTATGTGTTGAGTTCAAAAGGATTTGAGTGATGATAAATGGAGAGGTCACAACTAAAAGTTGTGTCTTTTGTGTGGTTCAAAAGAAAACGAGAGAAGGAGACTCAATGGTCGTTGGGTTCTCCACATATATGTAAGAGTGGAACTATGAGGGAACATTGAAATGAGTTGCTATAATGATGAGGAGATTGTATGTATGAGTGAAAGTCTGGCGAGGGAAGACCAAAATCTTTGTGAGAATTATGGATGGAAAATTTTCTGGCAATTATGATGGGAGACTTTTGTGAGGTGTCCCTAAGACGTGTGACCGCCGCCTGTTCTGATCAAAGTAAAGGGGGGGCATGACCTTGTGGATAAGAGAGAAAGTTGTTGGAACACAGAGAGAAAGAGACACTATCCCCCACATGGTCCGAGGTTGGGAGGGTATGTGAATCTAGAGGTTGTCCAGAGCTATTTGCCAGACCACAATGGTTAGTCTAGGGGGACATATTTTGTGAGGCCAAGCTAAGGGGCTATACTTAGCATCGCTGGAACTGTAGAACCTAACTCCCAGCGAGGGCCGCTGACCCGCGCAACCTGGCACCAATGATTAAATCTTGAAGGGTCGGTCGCCCGGAGAGGTATAGCTAGGGGGGGGGTCAGTGGGGTTGAATGAGTCTAAGAGTCGGTAAGTACGCCTATCGTTGCGCAAACAACGAGGGCATCATCGCTATATAACAACGCGATGAGCCGTGGATACGGTGTGATCGACCATTCTGCGGTGGGCCGAGATGGAGACCCGAAACCTCCTGTGTAGACAACAGGGTGGGAGTTATTATAAGAAATATTTGAGATGGTAAAAATTACCGTTTTGGGGAGTAAAGGTGCCCCGGTTTTTGAGAGAGGTCTCAGTTAGGGCCCGCGTCCTGAGTTATGACCCCGTACGCTGGATGATGACTCATTAGGACACCCAACGATAAACCGGCAGATGTCTACGACAAGGGAGGAGGGCTATCAATCTACTACTTGGAAGCGGGTATTACGCTGTAGTACGGATGACAGTACACCCTAACTCCTAGGCCAGGATGTGGGAGACCCAGGTTAAAACCCTGGCAGTGGAATGCCGTGACTGGGGTAGATTGACAAGATGCCTCTAACGGAGTCGAGCCGGCTAGTCGGAATGGTTACTAGCTCGTCAGCAGATGAGATTTTGAGTGCTTATAGCMTTTGATTGTTCGACGCGACGGGGACGTCGCTTAATAGGGTCCGGAAAAACTGTCGACACCATTACCCTTACAAGGGTAATTGTGCGCATTTTTGCACCCCGCAGCGGGAGCACACTTGATGGTATTTGAGAGAGCGGCGTGCTTTTCGCTTGGCCACGACCAACTCTCGGAAGTCAGGAAATGGCGAGCGCATGCATGATTAATTCAGGGAGTGTGTGTGGGCATGCACTTTGTAGGCACGCGTTAGCTAAATGTTTGACTAGTGTGAATAAAACAGACCGCTCGGCGGTCCCAGTTAGAAATAAGCTAGAGGGTTGGATAGCGTAGCGCGAGCCGTAGCCTCGAACGCGCTGACGGAGTTGCCACCAGGCGCAGAGTTAGACTATTGAGGCTATGGCTAGAGGAAAACTTTCAACTGACTTACGGAAGGGTGGCCGCGGCCGCAGTGTGGCGGGGCAGTGGGCATGGTGAGTTGAGCGATAACTGTCCTCCCAAGCAGCCAAGCACAGCATTGCGAGGCCTTAGGCTCGAAGGCGGAGCAAGCGGCCGCCTCGGTGCATTAACTACAGGCCAGACAGGCTGCGAATACTACTGATATACGAATTCGCGTATGCTAGGGTCAGGCTTGGGCTTAGCCCTATTGGTTAACGTACTGAACTTTCAGCCAACAGATCGTGGGATCGAGGCCAGCAGCCAGCATTACAAGAGCGGAGGAGCATTTCCTGAAGATACCGAGGGGTTGAGGGCCCGGCAGGGCTAACCCCCTTGGTTTTGTTGTCGGCCCATCCGTAGGCCCGGTCGGCGGAACTAAGAGTGGTACTGACAATTTCTCTTCCCCAAAGCGCGAGTTCCCGATGCTTGTGTTTTTATTTTTTATTTATTTCATTTTTATGTAATTATTGTTTTTGTTGTCGGTCCCGTTTCTGGGATGCGGTGACAATGCCGGTATCGGAGTTGTTTGCGGAGTCCAGCGAGCGTAACTTGATTGATACGCCCATGAATTGTTGAAATGCAGACGGAGAAAGTCAACGTGCATGACAGCTGATGGGTGACTGGCCGCGAGACGGAAGAAAAGTTGAGCATTGGGCGCCTCTCTGCAGGTGTGGTGTCCGCCAACCACGATCTGCGGTAGGAACTGAGTGGGAGCATGGCCGTTGGGGCCCATAAGGGACAAGACTGGTCACGCAGATTTTTGCCAAAGTCCCGGATGCACCATTGGTGTGCCCATTTTGTCAGCGGCCTGTGGAGCCGCAGGGCAAGGAAAATGCCCTATTTATTTTTATTTATTTATTTCGGGACCTGAAGTTTTTTGCACAATATGTGGATGGCGCCGGGTGACCAGCAAGGTATCGGATCGCCAATGCTCCAGACAACCAGGGCTCTATCCAACCTGAAAAGGTACAGCAGTGTGACCTGAACCATGCTCAAAACCTCGAACTGGTCTGTTCCAAAATCTGCACATTTTGCAGATTTGGGACCGCAGTGTGAGCATTCCCGTTCAGACCAGAAAGATGGTGGACTGCGCCTGGGCACAATGGGGCGGGCACACCAGGGCGGAGGCCGCCGGCTGCAGCTGCGGTCACATAGAGCCCCTCCCCATTTCCATCTTCAAAAATTCTCATGTGAATAATGACCACCAAGATCCGTGTCGGGATCCGTCCCGCCTAGGCTCATGCTAGACGCCTCGAAGCAGGATGCAGCCAGAGGGAGGCTACGTCCGCTGCCCACGATCCGCTGTGAGGAGTGGATGTGAGCATGCCTGTTGGGGGCGGTAATAGGGGAGCTACGCCTGGGAACAGCGGACCAGAGGGATTTTGGTGGGGGCTGCAGCAATGCTAGCAAGTACCAACAAGCCTAGCTCGGTTGGCATACTCACAGACTGTTGAAATATAGATCAGAGTCCGATCCGGAGAAGGCACCTAGGTGGGCCACGACCCCATCGYTTAGGCATTTCAYCAAGCCCAATTTTTATTTTTATTTTATTTGTATTTCTTTTCTCAGCCCCTCTTCTCCTTTTGAGGAGCTGCACTACAGTTTTTCTTGGGCTGAATGTGCCTAGATTTGGCCAGATTCATTTCTTGAGTGTGGCACGAGTAAGCTATGCAAATATGCCATTCTAGGCTATATAGGACAGCGAGGTCCGGCGATCAGGATTTCACTTCCATTAAGGTGCTCAAGACTGTTGGACCGTGCGCTATCATCTGGGCGTACTTTGGCTGGTGGGAGAGGCTCATGGAGTAATGGGCTACGGGGAAGAAGAAGGGAAAGAGAAGAGCGCGGTGTCGAGGGAGAGCAGGTATGAAGGGAGACAAGGCAGATTCCCACTTCGAGGGAGACAAGGCAGATTCTCACTTCGAGAGGGACAAAGGAGACTGCGCTGGCCGGCCTAGAGGGAGAACGGAGATGGAGATTGCGCTGGCCTGACTAAAGAACCAAGGAGGGCAAATGGATCTGGACGTGGGTATGAGCAAGGTGCATTCAAAATAGGAGAACAAGAAGAATGAGAAAAAGGGGGTGAAGAGATGAGATATAGGCCGTTACTTGATGAAATGGGGCCGAAGAAGAGTCTATTTCAGGGTTATTGACTATGGCGACCCCGAATTTGGGTTCACTTTTGGTGAAACGTTAGTTGGATTAAAGTTAGGAGATGAAGAGAGTGCGCGGAGGTGACGGGAAAGAGGATATGGCAAGGAGGAGAAAACACTTATCTCATTCGTTTCTTTACGGATTCGAGCGAAATAAGAGCCTAACTTGGGGTTTTGAGGCACCAGGAATCGATTGGCGCGGTTAGATTCTGCGATAGGGGAGCCGTTTTGCTGCTGTATGAGTCAGAGGCTGCGTTGTGCTTGGCAGAAAGCAAACACAGGGAAGGAATTTCGGCGGTGTATTTTCCTGCGTTTTTGCATCAGATTCATTCTCATTCTGCATATTCTTGTGGGGGACTGCGTGATGGGTTGGTGCTGCTCATCCTGATTCTGACGCTGCAGATTTCGTGGTTCTGTTGCTTGAGCCCACCATCGTGATTCAGCTATGTCTTCGGGAGCAGGCCCATCGTCACCATCGTAATTCAGCTA